CAAAGCCCACCCAAACCCACCACTCCAAGCCGCGGCAGGCGTGGCAAACCCACTTCACCCCCATGTTGGAGCTTACACATCGGCTTATGGTCCTCAGGCCCATAGGTGAGTGGACGGAATGCCGTAGGCTCTGCCACCCCCTCCTGACTCTTTCCCTGCCCCGTGTGCGTGTGACATGACCCTGCGCTTTCCGTTGTCTCCAGCTGGTTTGCAGGCGCGGGGAAGCGTATGGCGCAGGGGTGTTATGTGGACTCCGGAACTAACACATTATGCCAGCAACATTGGAGACATCGTGCCCAGATATTTCCTACATTCCACCGTACATGTTCACAAGTGAGAGCACAGGCATCTCCAGCTGAGATTCGATTCCGTTTTCACCGCTTGTTGCCCGAAGGGTTGCCAGTGCAATCATCTCGTTGCAATCTAATTGTATCTCGCCCTTTTTTCGAGAGAGAGGGTTCGCGGATCACTGATTCAGGTGGTTCTTTCGCGCATTGGCATGTCGCATGTAAGGTATGAGACGGTTGGGTTTCCTACTACCCATGGCCTGAAAGACTGGGTCTTCGGGGGCGAGGAGTCGGAGTTCCGCCGTGCCTTTCACCCATCGGTCTTCTCACAGATGCTCTTTTTTGGCGACATGCGCCACGCAACGACCACATCATATGGCAACGTGCGCTGGGTTGCGGAGCTGTTCGGGATACCAGCTCAGAATGCATGGGTCTACTTTAGGGTGCTGGACTTCTACAGTCTTCGCCACACTGGCCCTGGCCGAGGCCTGTTGAACTGGAAACGTGGCTGAAAATGTAAGCTGTTTTGGGAGAGCTCATGTGTTTGCTCGAAGCGAGGGCAATGCTGAGAAAAAGTTTCAAGGAATCTCATGATGATCGACTGGGCCGATCTTTTTCGGCAAGTGGGACGTCCAGTGCTGCCGCCTGCACCGCTGCCAGAGGGCTTGGCACCCTGGCATGTCACAACTGGCAGTGTGCTTGAAACACACCAGTCGCTGCCATGCCCTCGCCTGGCTTCCCTACAGGTCAAGCCGGTGAAGCTGTCAACTCCAGGAACTTACTTATATGAGCCAAATGCTCGAAGCACCAAAATGCCAGAAGCTCGCTAAAACTTGACACATCACCCAATACCCAGGGAGAGTGAAAACAGCACTTGCCGCAGCTGGCACCCTTGAAACGATGTCCTTGATTGGGTGCGGGTAGTCTTTGGGAGCACGTGGCAATGCCCTACTATGCCCTGCTTGATGATTGAAGGAATGTCTCGGGTTTCACCCAGGTCTTAACAGCTGCCGCGAATGATGGAGTTCCTGCACCGCTTTCTGTGATGGTGCCTCTGCCAGCAAGTTTCGTAGACTGGACTGGCGAAGTTCGGCACATCATCGCCAGTAGGCATTTGCGGAATTGCCAGACGCCTGACAGGAAACTTTGTGTCCAGAGAGGGGACCGAGAGCCACAAAGCGAGCTGTAAAGTGCGATTTGGGATCCATGAAGCTACCGGTCACAGCGATGCACAGCACGGTAGTTCAGGCTTTTTAGGCTGCTTGAGCAGATAGGAATTAGCGAGAGTCACATCAACGCGATGCCAGTTTCGAGCAGCAGCTCCTCCAGAGCTTTTGGTGTTGCTTTCGCACAGACTTTCAGGTGCTGTGGGAGTGCTGTCTGAGTGACAGTCTGAGTGTTCTGGCACACGTTGACATCGGCTTCGTTACATGGGGTGGGGGAAGATTTGATCTCAACGGCGACTTCGGACAATACTTGCGCGAGTTGTTGCATGCAGACGGGATCAAAGGAGACCTCAACACCCACACAACCCACCAAGCTCACAAGAACCTCACCGCCCTTCGAAGCTGGAAACTCTGTACATGGATCTGGGCTGGTCTTGGTTAGCAGTGACTTGGTAGTGTCTATGCTGTGTCGTGAGTTGTGGGCTGCTCAGCGTAAGCAAGAGCGAATGCACTTAATAGCGCGCGCGTTTGAAAGTGTGTGTGTTTCTTGCAAGTTGCAAGCACTGCCGAAGCCTTTGTGCTACGCGGATGAACAACACGGACACCGAATCAAGCCCGCTGCAGGTGGCCGGTCGCAATAGTACGGAAGCGAAGCTCGTTGCAGAAGCAGCCTTGAATGAGTGGGCAAACGACGAAAGGAGCCTGCTTGTAGATTTTGGGCCGCTGGGTTTCCAAGTGAGCAAAGAACCCAATACTCCACATCAGGAAGTAGTCTTCGGGAGGTCTTCGGAAAACATGCGGCATGAATTCAATGCCGGATGATGAACGACGATAAGGTCAGGTATGTGTATGGGGTATGTATGCCGTATGATATGTAGAACGATATACTGAATCCCCAACGATAAGCTCATTTTATGGTCTCGTGCACATGTCAATGTGTTTGTACCTTTCTCTCTGTCTCTCTCCCTGTCTCTCTGTGTGCATGCATCCGGAGGCCGAGGAAGGCTTGAAAGAGTTTACGAAAATGAGATCAGGAGACATGGCTTGGAACGATATCAAAACGATATCAGAACGATAACAGAAATGTCGATGAGAGTGTCATGTCTGAACACTTCCCCATCGCGGCTGTTCGGGCGTGCCAACCAGCAGATCTGCGAGCATGCGATCACTGCAGGGATTGCATGCAGAGGGTACAGGACAAATGTGACCCGTGGATGTGTATGCGTGTGCGGGACATGCATGATCAAGCGACTTGGAAGAACCCTACCCAAATCAAACATGAGCTGCCTGCATGCTTTCAGCATTTTCTGCACTGCAGGAGTGAGCAGTGGCTCCACGACGACTTCACTTTCTACGGCCCTGGTGGCATTGGCCTCGCCAGACGCCGAGAAGTTTACCAAAATCTCGCAACGAGGATGCAAAAGACGATGCTCACACGACTTTGCTCAGCTGGTTGCTATCTATTGCAATTTCAGCTGTCAACCTTTCTTTTCTTCGAACATCTTCGGATCGAAGGTGATTCAGCCGTTTCGTGCTGCTTTTGCCAAGCGCCGGGTGGAGAAGGACATGTTGTTTTGCGAGGGCAACTATTGTGCAGCCTGTGGGAGGTTCTGGGGCGAGCACGTCGGCACGTGGGTCGGGCAGGTGGCGAGTCACAGGCGCCTCAGTTTGAGGTTCGGAATGCACTGGCGAGTGGAGGATGGCAGGGTCCGGGAGGCTTGGGCGATTTTCGATTTCCCTGGCCTCTTCAAGCAGTTGGGAAAGGACTTCTACGACATCGCCAGGAAGCCAGACCTAATGCCAGTTTGACAGGTGGCGAGTTCGTCAGACCTCTTTGCCAGAAACGCTCGGCTTCTCTACCTCGCAATCCGCGGTTACCTCGGCTTGCAAGCCACTGGCTGGTCTCATCGTTCAACGACATCGGCAGCAGGCCATTCGGGAGCAGCAAGCTTCTGTCAATGGCCTCGTGCAGCTGGGGAGACATGAAGATGCCGGAGATTCTGCAGGCAAGGTGAAGGCAGGCGCATCTCAAGAGTTGCTTGGTCCTGGTTGGTGCCAATGGTGTGTGTGCAGCGGAACAAAAATGTGCGGCAATGCCAGCTGCTAGTTGAAGGCGTGTGAGCTGCTGCATGGCCAAGGATTCTCGCAGCTCTGAACATGGCCAAGGGTGGCCCTCGCAGAAATCCCTATGCCTCAAAAAGCATGAACCCCACGGCCCCCACGGCGCCCCTTTCTGGCTTGGCCATAGGTCCCAGCTTTGCCTGTGCACATAACGCTGCACTGGCAGGCATCGAGTGGAAGTGGTCTCCTCACCCTTGGCAGGGCTTCAAGGCCTCGTGGGCTATCACTCCTCTGCCGATTCCTTAGGCTTCATGCGTTGCTGGATCCATGTCAGGTGAGCAGCAGTGTCAACATTGCTTCAGGAGTTTGAACATGGCAGAGTCGTAGGGGAAGCCATTCATGGCACACTCCACACTCAGGTGCTGGTGGATGGGGAGGCGAGCCAAGGGCTCTGATCTGCAGGTTTTGTAGGGTTTGTCGTGTCTGTCTTGCATTCTCGATGCAGCTCGGCCGCCGTGCGCAGGAATACTATTTCACGCCAAGCGGGATTCGTTGTTACCCAAGACTTACCAGCCACCGGAAAGCGTTCCTTGGACCGCAATGCGCTCAACCGCTCAGCTGCGCATGTGTCGGTTTCATTCTTCTTTCTGAGGCGAGGTGTCCAAAGGAAGCAGGTGGGCGAGAGCTGGCTACCGAGCATCTATCGAGGGTGACGATTATGGAGAGATGGCAAGATCAGTGAGGCGAGGTTCACCGTTCATGATGGTGGACTGGCATCACACGTCGCGGAAGTCGGAGAATCCCGTAGCGAGATGCAACTGGCCGGTTGAGAGGCCTGCTTTTGCCGCTGCAGTCTGGTCGAAAGACCGGGCTTGAAGGTCGGTCAAGAGGCTACTACCAGTGTTTCGTCATCAATACATATCAGTACTGTCAGCGGGACGTGCATTTTTCCACAGCATGGCCCAAAACTTATTATGCTGCAGCTGAAATCCTGTTGTGTCTTCATGTCTGTTCCCAGGCCCATTGGGTGGCACCGCTTTGCTCGACGTGCTGAGCAAAGACTTCCAGCAGATTCCTCAGACAAGATTAATGCCGAGGGACACTGACAGCCCTGCAGTCCTGCAGCTTTGCACAGACTGGCCGAACTTGGCAGACAGCAGATCATAGCAACTCATAGTAATTACAACAAGTTTCGACGGCTGCATGCTAGTCATGGTATCATTGTGCAGACCGCAGCAACAGGAATTGCTCACACCTACACCGACACGACACGGCTCCGACGTTGAGCCACCACATACAGCCACGGCTGAGCGATTCGCGCAGACGCTCGGATCTATCACGAGTGCTTCCGAAGCCCCGGTAGCAGGGGCGGGTTCTGGTAAATACTTAGGAGCACGGCACAAGCAACTCAGATCAACTGACACCGCCAAACCCTTTGCAGTGGTGCTGAAATCCGATCAGTGGCATGCTGAAAGTCGCGCATGGAAGGCCTCAAACTTATGACCTGCTCCGCAAAAATTGCAACAACTTCACGGCCGGCTGCCCGGGAACATGAGATTTCCGGTTGTTAGCTGCGCCTGCTGCGCCTCGGCTGGGTCATGAGGGTCGCAGTCGGTCCAGGGCAGAACGCGGATTGGCCAGGCTGCAAAGACAGAGCATATTAAGTCGCCGCCCCACCTGCCGCACCTTTGCGACTCTTCAGCTACGTTTTGAGTCCCGATTGAGTTGCATCGTGTTTATCATGGGAGTGTCACGTCCAGGCAGTGCTTGCGTTGCATTCACTATATCAGGCTTAGGGTCTAAAATGCCGTGTGCATGGCGCTTCGTGGGCCGCGGCGCGAGCGTGGTCTGGCCAAGGCGATAAACACGACGCCTCCTGCATTCCTACAGAGCCCCCTTTAGACACGTAGGCCTAGACCTCTCTGACTTCGAGACTTCTGCAAGGCTTCTCAATGACTCAAGCTGCGGGCAAGAGGCTCGCAGCAGGCTTCACAAGCCGTAGTGGCTGTAGCGCGTAGCACTGAGTGTCTTCGCCGCCATGCCCACCAGGCCCGAAGGCCCAGGCGGAACAGCGGACATGGAGCCTTTCCTAAGCGTTGCTAGCCGAGGTCAATCTGGCATTGCACATCTCACAGCTTTTTTTGAAGGCACGGCCAACACAATCGAGCCCCTCAGTACCCAGATCGGTCTCTTCTTCAACCTCACGGACGCTTTCGACGTCAGCGGTGGGACTCTTGGTGGAGCGCCCATCAGCCAGCCAAGAAAGATGGCATTTGATGGATGTGGAGTTACAGACGGCTTCTGTGGCACGATTTGTGCCAAAGGCTTAAGGAGGCAGTGTGCGGCCGTGCGACGTCAAGTCGACAGCTTGGTGGCTGAACTCGCTTCCAGCTGCCAAACCCCTCCGGCCTTGCGGGTCAATGCGGTGGGCCTGTCTCGAGGAGGTGTTGCTTGCCTGTACCTAGCCCAAGCACTGTCAGACCTGCATATGTCGACTTGCGAGCTTTCGCTGTTGTTGTTTGATCCTGTACCTGGTGATTTGCTGACGGTCGCACAGCTCGACTTGTTCGGGCTCTCGAATACTTCCGCGTGCTGTGATGTTTCCGCATGCCAGTGCCTCGCACGCGTTTTAGCCTTGTACCCGTACGAACCTTTGCCTGCGATCGCTTGCCATGCTCCGGTGCTATGCCACTATCCGGAGCACTGCGTGGTTGAGGAGGAAGTTACGCCTGGCTGTCATCAGGGCGCTTTGCAAGTGCATGGCTTGCAAGGGCCACACTTAGACTTTGACTCTGCGCTCTCTTTTCTGCGCATACGCCGCTGGCTGATGGAGTGCGGGACGCCTCTAGATCAGCGACACCTGGACTGCACGGTCTCCGTCAAGACGCTCGAGGATTTCTGCTTGCGGAAATGTAACCAGGAGGCGAAGCGTAGCCGTGGCAGCGTCCGGTCCTCCCACAGTGCCCATAGCTATTGGGGAGCCACCATAGTGCGAAGGCAGATATCAGCAGAGGAGGAGGCGTACCTGAACCAGCACCACAAGCTGCTGTCGAATGCAGTCTCCCGTGAAGACAGCGAATGGATTTTGGAAATACAGCGCGAAGTGACTCCCTTTCCCTCTGGGCTTCTCTGCTTGCTGGCTTTGCTTGGCCTGGCGATTGTGTTCCCGTTCATGACTTCATGAGTTGCGTGAGCAACCAGAACAGCGCACTGAAATTCTGTGCGAGTGTGGTGGTTGGCGGATGTGGCGGTGTACAGTACGAGAGTTCCCCTCTGAGACTCTGTGGGTGGCGGCGCGGGAAAGGAACCTGTGGTAGTAGTCACTGCTCCATGTGAAAATATTTGGACCGCAGCTTCTGTCAACTTCTACTTGCAGAGCTCTTGTGAGCCGGAACGGTCATTCGTCCAGAATCGTCCAGAGTTTGGTCCGATACATTGCTCCATGCCCATGAAACTCGAGCTTTGTTTGGCGACTACTTGTTCTGTTTATGTCGTAGGACCGTCTTAGGAGGTACATTCAGAAGCTGCTTCTGCGATTTTCTGCGCGCTGCCAGCAATTTCAGCAGCCGTACGTTGAAAGAAGGCTGCACGGCATTCTGTAGCTACTTGTACGCCTGCCTGCAGGCCAAGAACTTGTGCTTCGAGCACGATCCACGACATGGCCGAAGCTGTTCGGCCGGGGATGCTTGCTTTGAGCTGAGCTCTTCGAGCTCTTCTCTCAGCTGCACAGCCCTCGCTGCCGCGCATCTTAGGCCCGAAAGAGCATTTGGACACGTTGCAGGAGGACCCGGTGCTGTTGGCCGGAGTCATGGCTAGGCGGATCTGAGCCGGCACGATCTGAAGCCCTATCGCTGCGTTTCGGTTTCGGATGAGTTCGAGATTCGTGTGTGTGTGTGTGCAGAAGTTCCACCAACTCGAGACGGTATACTGAAAAAAGGTATGCTCAAGCTGATACATCAGCTTGAACAGTATGTTTTTCAGAGCTGCGAGTCAGATGTAATTGCACTGGAGCTCACTGGAGCTCGTGGTGGCCTGTTATATCGGCGTCAGTGTCTCAGAAATCATGAGATGCGCAGAGGACCTCAGCCTGACTTTGCCGACAACTTGTAAAGCTTTTGCGTTCATGGAACCCGATGGTGGCACGTAAGTTGTGCGTAAAATTACAGTAAAATTTAATTCAGACGCCCGTTCCGCAAGTTCCCTTTCCTGTACTCTGGCAGAAGTTGTCGCAAACTCCCAGTGGACCTGGAAGCGCGATCTTCGCCCGAATGCTACGAAACCTGCACAATCAAAGACAATCTATTTCTAGGTTCGCAACAAACCACCAGTTGAATCTTGTCGGAAGAGGCTACCTGTGGCTGCCTCCGGCGGCTGGGTGAGGCCGAGACCACCAAGCCCAGCCCACTGTGCAGCTGCGCCGAACTATCATTGTCGTGTTTCGACTTCCCGACGTATCGACTCCGTCCGACTCCGTCCAACACCAAATCAGGATGTGCACGATCCACAAACATACAAAAATCACCCGGCCAGCATTCCAACAAGCATGCTGGTTGCATTCTCAGAAGCAGACATTGGAATGCTTCCTGCATGTTTTTTTGAGATGCTTATTTGAAATACTGGACCTGTGGGCAGGCCAACTGGAGGATCAGGTTTTTGCAATGCTATTTTTGTGCGCTTGTTGGCCTTGGTGGCTGGTTGGAAGCAAAGTTGTCTTGAAATGCTGGATGGAAATTTGTTGCAACGTTCGTTCTTGGATGTCCTTGGCAATCTTCCGAGTGAAATGCATTGAATGCTTGCTGAAATCTTGCCGAACGCTTCTTGTTGTTTGGCTATGTTTGGCTGGTGATAGTACAGAACGCCTGGGCCACAGCGTGGTAGGGAGGATCGAATTAAATGCCTGTGGCCACAATCCGCTTGGAGCTACTGGAAGGATTTGGCCGAGCGATTGGACATGGCCAGAAGAGACTTGGACTGCATGTCGAGGGCTCTGGTACACTGGGACCTACAGGGACCTACTGTAATTTGTGTTGTGCGCTCAGCTGGAAAGTGCAGTTGCTACCTTGCCATGACGTAGACGCGGCTCTACTACACTGTATCTAGCACGCTAGGTTTTGAGTAGAAACGGGAAGCGAAGAGACAATGCCTCGTAGTTTCAAGAGGACTGAGCCGGTTACATGCAAACTCTTCGCGCTACCGTGTATCGACAGGAGCATGGGAGGAAGCACTTCTTCGACGCAGGCAGAAAGAAGAAAAGGCACCTGTCTCTGATCTGAACCCCAACATTTTTTGCAGCCCGATGAAGCATTCACCTATACTCCCCCTGTCTTGAGTGTGTTGTGCATGCATGGCCGCATGCCACACTTGGTCTATAGGGCGAGATGTTGACAGCAAGATTCACAAGCTCACTCGCTGTGAGCCGTACAATTTGATAGGTCCGATAGGTCCTTAATGCGTGAGGCTGGGAGTTTCTTTGGCTCATCCATGTGTAGGGGTGACTGTGAAACGCTCCGAGACTCGCCCGGGCAGCACGCGCCTAGAGTTTCCTGTGCCAGGGCAGATCGAATCCCCAAACTTCGGCAGCACCCAGTTCAAGGCGGGCTTGCTGCAGCGACATGAAGCAACTTAATCTCTGAGCTCGAGAAATCTCAGGCTTTTTGGGCTTTCTGATGCCTTGTGACTTTCGTTTTAGACACCGTAAACCGCGGCACTGAGCAGTGGTTCTACAATGTTCTACAGCTGGAGGGGCCTGGCAAGGACTCAAGACCAGGATGCTGGACCTCGCTAAAGGGCTCGCAAGCTTTCGGAGAGCTTCCTGGGATCACTACTTGAAGGGCCCGAGGTCTGAAAGTTTGGATCCGGTGCTTGCATGCCAACCGATTCAAGCCAGTTCACCAGAAAGCTGGCAGCAACAACGATGCAAAGCATTTCCATGAAGGAGAGGGGAGTTAAGATTAAGACTCGATTTGATAGTTGAACCGACCGCAGGACTCTGCCTGCATCCTGCCGCTTGACAGCAGTTGTCTTCTTCTGGATGCAGGAACGACGTTTAAGCAGTGCCTTTCGCCCAGTCCTTCCTCGCAGAATTACAAGGTGCTCCGCACATTTGCGAGGACCTTCCGGTGCCACCAGGTATCTTTCAGGCTTGAAAGCAATAGCATGAAGATCAGAGCACTGCAAGAACATGCCGTGGAGTGTGTGCAGTCGTGAGATAGAGCATGGACGAGGGCATGCAGCTTTCTGCACAGTCCACATGGCATGCACAGGGTGCCAGATGCACTGGCAAAGCGAGAATCTCCTCACAGAAGAAACGACACCTGCAGCAGGTGTCATGGTACTACGATGAGAGGTGGTACCGTCGTGCGACTGCTGCAAAGTTGTGGCTTGACTCGACCTGACAAGATCAATCGATGAATTCACCCTCCAAGCTGCCAAGACAGCCTTGAACTAGAGGATCTCTTCAGCCAGCTTCTTGGCCTGCTCTGCTCTATGGGCCTGGACGCCACGGCTTCGGCGGTATCGGGAGATCCATCCTGA